TATGCACAAAATATAGTCAGAGTTTTTAAATAATCAGAAATTAAAATCGAATTACATCTTTAGAAAATAAAAATCGCCATTTTTCTCTGGTTCAGCGTTTTGGAAGCAACAAACTGCGTAAACTCTTAAAAATTAAGAGAAAGTAACTTCTACCAGATTTTTCGGCTAATCCTTGGAATATGGTAACAGGTAGTTTGGCGACATTTTGGTAAGGCGATAAAGATTACTAGCTAGGACTTTAGCAATGTACATGGATAAAGTCAAGAGTACGCGCAAAGCCATTTTTGTGCAATTCTGGGATTTTTTTTTAAGTGAAACTAGGTTGACGTGTACATGGATGATACCGTGTATGTGCAATTCTTAAAAACGCTCAAACAGTGGGCGATTCTGCACTTTGTCGAAATTTTGCACCTAATCTTCGTCATGCTTAAGCACTTTTGTTCTATAAAAGTTCTAGCATAAGCGTAATTCGGCTAGCAGATTGTTGGAAAAAAATGTTGAGTAAAGTTATAAATGATGCAGGCATGTTTAAAAAAAAAAAAAAATGCCTTTACTTCGTGAAAACAAAATGGCGTCCAAACAAAAACTAGCAGGTAGCAGGGTTGATCGCAAAATTTTCACCAAAAAATCGTCAAGTTACCATAATCCAAAGATTAAGCGATTTTTCTAATTTTGTATATTTTACTTTTAACTAAGCGAATGGTCTTGGGGAAAAAAAATTAACCCAAACTACAAGGAATTCATTGTTAGCTTTTCCATTTCAAGTAATGATTCGGGTTTTAAATGTCATCAAATTCATATGCGTCATATTTAGATTATAGTGAAAACTTTCATACAAATTAAGACAATAACATGCCCTACATTTTACACTGCAATGAACTCAAAATTTCAACTGCTTCATCGCATGACAAGATTGGGATAATCTTTTGAATATGGTAACAGGCAGTTTGGCGACATTTTGGTAGGTGATAAAGGTTACTATCTAGGACTTTGGCAATAATGTGAGAAGTTCCCAGTTCCAATTATGCATTATTTTGTGTGAGAGAAATGAGAGATCATGAGATATGTCATGTAACATTTATGGACGAATCACAGTTCTTTAATCGGAAAAGGGGGAAATTTGGAAAAATATCTGCAGTACTTTAAGTATTTTGTATTTAGCTTTATTGTGTGTTTTGTGAAAAAGTGTTGCTTAATTTTTGGATCCCATGGCCCTATGTAAAGTGATGATTTGAGGATATTATTTTTATGCGTTGTTCTAAATATACGGAATAAATAAATTAATATGCTATTATTGGAAAATTTTTATTAGCAATGAATTAGTTTAAAGTAATTAGGATTGTAAGCTAATTTTTATTAATTTAATGTATGTGCTTATTTATATTTTAAGTAGTGTTTTTTAATTTAATTATATTTTAATTAAATGATAGTTATTTTGTGAATTATATGTTTGTAGCATTTTGGAATACGTTTCAGTAGAAGTAAACGTGCATGGAAATAATTTAAATATTTGACACTAAGTATTTGCAACCATTTTTAATGTTTGCGTTATAAATTCGCAGGTGACGTTTATAATAGATAATTTAGAGGGAAAAGTTTTTGGATATTTTATTTATTTTATACGTGCAAATGTTCATCCTTGGAAAGGGTATATACTTTTTCGCGATCAGGTAATTTCATATATGTCCTTTTTACCGACTTTAAAGATTCACAAAATTTTCATGCATTTTCGTGCAAATTTTTCTAATTTATGAGAAAAAAAGCAGTGTACATGGATAAAGTGAAGAGTGTGCGCAATGCCATTTTTGTGCAATTCTGGGATGTTTTTTTAAGTAAAAATAGGTCGACGTGTACATGGTTACTGTGTATGTGCGATTCTGAAAAACGCGGCAAGGAGTTTGCGATTCTGCACTTTTCTCCCAATTTTGCAGTTAATATTTCGTCATGATTAAGCACTTTTGTTCCATAAAATTTCTAGCATAAGTGTAATTCGGCTAGCAGATTGTTGGAAAAATGTTCAGTAAAGTAAAAAGAAAAGAAACCTGTTTTACTTCGTGAAGACAAAATGGCCGCAAAAAAAAAAAAAAAAAAAAAAAAAAAAGAAAAAAGAAGAAGTAGAAGGTTGGTGTAGCAGGGTTGGTTGCCAAATTTTCGCCCAAAATCGGCACGTTACCATATTCCAAAGATTAACCCAAGAGGGTTACTTAAAAATACCCTACATTTAGCAAGAAGTCGCGAAATGTGTAGCGAATTGGAGGAATTGAATTTCCGCAGGCAATTTGGTGCCTATGGATAATTTGAAGAACAGGGTGACAAGGTCGTTCTAGCCTTGTATGTGTTCTCAGGTTAGCTTTTCATGAAGTATAGTGCAAAACACAACATTTGTACACAAAACAATCACTGAATCCATGCAAAGTGCACTTTTAGCCAGGGCTGTGGAGTCGAGTCATGCAGATCTTGGGATAAAAGGAGTCGGAACTGGAGTCACTAAAAAACAGGTTGCTTTCGACTCCAGTTTTTGTTGGAAAGTTTGAATTTGAAATGAAATTAAAATGAATTGAAAAAATTAATGACAAGCTGAGTTATTATTTTTATTTATGGACTACATACATTAATAAATAATTATTTTCTATTTTATTGACATATTAATAAATAAATATAAGGGAGGAGGAAGGATTGGCTGATCTTTGGAATATGGTAACAGGTAGTTTGGCAACATTTTGGAGGCGATAAAGGTTACCTAGGGCTTTGGTAATAATGTGAGAAGTACTCAGTTCCGATTATGCATTATTTTGTGTGAGGGAAATGAGAGATCATGAGATATGTCACGTGACATTAATGGACGAATTACAGTTCTTTAATCGGAAAAGGGGGTAAATTTAGAAGAATATCCATAGCAAGAATCTTAAGAGATTCTTTGTCTGTAGTACTATATTGTTTTGTATTAAGCTTCATTGTCTGTTGTGCGATATATTGTTGATTAATTTCGTATTGCATGGCGCTATGTAAAGTGAATTCTAAATTTTTAATGCGTTTATCTGATAATAATAAGTTGAGATTGTGTGAAAGGAAGGATATTACAGATAAGTTTGAATGGTGGTGCAAGAAATCTGGTGAAAATGGACATTTTGTGAAACGGAGTGTAAGGAAGGGTACGTGGTTTGCTGAAAGTAGTTTGAGTATGGGTGAAATTTTATTAATTTCTTATTACTTGGTGAATAGACTGCCAGTTGACTACTGGATTTCGGATTTAGAAATTAGCAGTAGTACTGCAGCCGATTGGAACTCTTTCTGTAGGGAAGTGTACGTGTCACGTAATGAAGATTCTGAAGAAGATTAGTTAAGTTAGTATTTTTAATCATTTGAGGATATTGTTTTTATGCATTGTTCTAAATGTAAGGAGTAAATAAATTAATATGGTATTATTGGAAAATTATTATTAGCAATGATTTAGTTTAAAGTAATTAGAATTGTAATCTAATTTTTATTAATTTAATGTATGTGCTTATTTATATTTTAAGTAGTGTTTTTTAATTTAATGATCGTGATTTTGTGAGTTATATGTTAGTAGTATTTTGGAATACGTTTGAAGTAGTACACGTTGAGTATTTTCATGCATTTTCGTGAAATTTTTCTAATTTATGAGAAAAATGCAGTGTACATGGATATAGTAAAGAGTGTGCACAATGCCATTTTTGTGCAATTCTGGGATTTTTTTTTTAAGTAAAAATAAGTTGACGTGTACATGGTTTAAATTAAATGATAGTTATTTTCTGAATTTTATGTTTGTAGGAATTTGGTATACGTTTCAGTTGAAGTAAACGTGCATGGAAATAATTTAAATATTTGACACTAAGTATTTTTAATGTTTGCAGTAGAAATTCATTGCTGACGTTTATAATATAATACATAATTCTTCACTTTGTGAAACGCTTTTCCGTTATCAGAATCAATTTCCTCTTAATAATACAAATTAAAAAAGGGGGGGGGAGGAGAAAACGCTTTGTATTCTATCCGAGAAAAGGAATGTTTAATACAGCATACAAAAATTAAAAATTTATATGCCATAGGATCTAACTTTTCTAAATTTAATGACAGCAACAAAAACTATTCATATTTAACAATAAATAAACTATATTAACTATTAAATGGGATAATACTGTTAAATTATTTTGAGCACTTCTTCATTCAAAATATGTTTTACTTCTTTGAAATAATAAATATCCAAATGTAACTATTCACTTTTTCCTGAATGTTAACATTGGGCTCTTACTGATATGACCTTTCCATCGCCGAGATATACAAAACCAGAAATTATAAATTTCTCACAGTGCTATGAAATTTAATGCAGCTTTGATTAATAAATGTGATTGATTTTATTTGATTGATTTATTAGCTTTGATTAATAAATGTAGATGTATTTCCAAATTTAGAATTTATCTCTATAAAAATATTTATGATGCGCTAACAGAAGGTTGGCGTATAAATATCTCAGACGCCATAAAACGGAAAACATCAGAAAAATCTAATTCGGGTAACTTCAAATGAATTACAAGAAGATTGATGCAAATGTACGTAAACATTCAGAAAGGAATTCTTTATTTTAAATACAAATGAGAATTACTACCTGTATGTTTATATAAATCCATGTTACAATTTGATGAAGGTTAATCATTAGCTACTGAAATGCTAAACTAAATATCTGTTTTTGCATGTATGGTAGCCACTTCCCCGAATCTGTAACTTAGTATTAGAAATGTATTCTATTATTCCTAGATTACTCGAATACATGGAAATTTAAAAAAAAAAATTATTTCTTCATTCGTAAATTAATTTTAATGAATGATGAAAGACAGCAGATAACTTCATTCACAGAGAACACATAAGTAAACACGCAAAAATATTTGCGTGGAATGCAATGTTTACATGAAATGGAAAGCTATTACTACCAATTAATTTAAATCAATTGATATTAAAATTACAAAAGGACTATGAATTACCTTTTGTTCTTTGTCGTAAGTGAATCATGTGTAATAAATCATGACGTTTTATCACCTTTAGCATTTCTATAATACTAAAGAAATTCGATTCATCACAATATCCTGATTTTGAGAGTGCATGGAATAGGTCCTTGCCATTTTTAATTTTACGCAGTTGAGAAGGATTAAGCACACGCCCTGATAGAATAGTCAATAAATACACATCTTTTTGGGTTAAATGACTTCCAACTCGATCAAACATTTTAAACATTGTTGATTCATATCGTGCACTCAAACTTCGCGACAGCTTAGACAAGCACTTCGTGTCGGCCATATTGAATTGACATGTAAAGCAACTCCGCACTAAATTTTACGCATTTCTGCGATTGGTTTATGAATACTTTACTGCGAGCGCATTTTGAGATTTAATATAGTTATAATTTAATATATTTTATTCACAGCCTCTTGTTGAGTCAATTAAAATTAATAGAAAAATATTTTATTATGAAATTTGCTTTCATATGACCGAATATAAACATATAACGCGTTTTAAAACTGATTTAAAAATCTTTAAAATTTAAACTTTTTAAAAGTTTTGAAATTGGCAAATCCGCAGTATAAACCATGAGAAAACATCATGCTATCATTGAAAAGGACAGAAAAAAAAAAGAAACTGCTCAGGGCTTTAAAGAAACAAATTTCGATTATAGATGCTAATCAATTTGGTATTTCCGTCAACTTCCGGCCCTCGATTTCAGTAGAGATTATTCAAGATGGCGGACAGTAAGTCTGTTCCTGATCTCAGGACAGGTAAGCTGCTGCTTTTTACATATTCATAACTTTGTTAGCATAATTTATTCAGATGTGAACCTGCTCGCGTTTTTTAAATTTGAATTCGCGTCTTTCGCTTAATTATGCTTGTTTTTTTTTTTGTTTAGTGCAATTAATTTATTACATGGACGTGAAACTCATTCCATTCGAATATATGCGAGCCTTGATCATGGGGGAAACCATGCCTCCGGTTATTTTTTTTTCCCTCCCGTGACATGTGTATTTATGTGTGCTCAGCATGTCATGCATAGAACTTTATCCGTGCAAATTTTTCTTGTATTTTTGACTCGCAGCAAGCTTTGTATTTATATTTTTGTACAATTTACGACTGTTGTTATAATTGAGCGGCTTTATATATTGCTATATTAAGCTTTTTGCATCATATCTTATTCTACTCACGTGGTCGAAGTCTCAAATACTACAAGCACTGTGATTGGACCGGACAAACCGCTTGATGTAAAAAGGCGATTTTTCTGTTGATGTCAACAAATAGCCGTCGTTTCCAATGCTAGCATGCGTTTGATTTTTATTCTTTAATAGGCCGGATTGTAAACTGAAGTGCGGATATCCTGCTCGTTCTTGCTTTGCACTTGAGGGTGGGGGTTGTTTCTAAACATAAGGGTTATAATATATCGTTTAAATCATAATGTATAACATTTATATGTCAGAAACTCTTTTAATTTTGTATAATTTTTTTTTTTAATTTAACAGTTGTCTAATAATTTGAAATGGGGAATAAATTTGGAGGGAAAACAATGTTAGTGAAATGATTTTTTAAAACACATAAAATCCGAAAGTTTCAAAATTAAAATTTCAGAAAATTAAAGAGATATACTAGTTTTAATATCATTTGTTTTTTATTTAAAATTATATTTTTGACTGAATGAAAATTTTATTTCTGGACTTTCACACACAGCCTTCAGAAGTACATTATAAAATTAATGTTTTGTTACATATTTAAAATGAGTAATGTGTCTGGACTTTCACACACAGCCTTCAGAAGTACATTATAAAATTAATGTTTTGTTACATATTTAAAATGTGTAATGTGCATAAAATTGAGGCATTTGTTACTGTGCGTTATTCAAATATTAGCATTGTTAAATATCATATATTATGTGCTTTACATATGAAGTAAATTTCAGTACATTTTTACAAAATCATTTTATAATTTTATTATTCTACTGGCTTATATTATCCATATGATAAAGTTTCTTGTTTACACTAATGGAGTTTACTAGAAATGAATGATCATCTTTAAAAAAGTTGTGCAATCTAATATTTGTATTTTACTTCATTATTTATTTTAGCCCAAAATTTGTCATCCATTTCTTATACTTTTATTATTTGTTAAAAACTATTGTTTTATTTCAATAAGTTCCTGAAATCTTCCGACTGAGTTGAAATGCTGGAAAATTCTTAAAATGTTTAACAAAAGTGCATAATTCAATACAGGAACAATATTTAACAGGAATGTTATTTTTTAACACATATAAATATTAATGTAAAGCATACTTTATAACATACTAAGAAAGTATTTAGTAATTTCATTAAGAAATTTATTTTCTGTTATAAGAATGCCATATGATTTTTTAAATTCATATGTCAGGCATTATACACAAATTATTGTAATGCGGAGTTGCATCTTTTACCATCAAAAAAGCCAAAATTCATCTTTGAGTTAATTCATAAAAATATTAAAATTATTCAAATATTATTTATCAATAAAACCAATTTTCTTTTCTGTCTGGTTTTTATAATTGGCATTGGCATATGTCTTTTCTGTATACATCATTTTGTTTGTAAAGGAGATGGATGTGTATTTCTAATTCAAAAAAAGAGGTCAATTAGCATTGAGAATTGAAAAAAAAAAAAGTAAAATTTCGTGGAATTAATTTCTAAAGTGTTATCATATCTACTTTTTCCAACTGCAAGTAAGAAAATAAGATAACAGGATCATGCATTATATATTTGCAATTTTTTTATGCATATTAATCTGAAGATTTATTTTTCTACATATCTGTGGAAAAGATAAGTTCAGATCTTCAAAATTATTCCTGCAGGTTGTAATATTACACCAATTCTCGTTATTAATTTTCATAATTTTTCGAGTTCATTAAATGAGTGTGTGTTTAATGTAGATTTTACTGTTGCTGGATACTTTCACATGGATTTGTTTTGCATTCGCATTGTTTGGATATTATGAACATGCATGATCATATTATGCAATTACATGTATGATGATTATTAATATTAAATCTCTTAGAGATGAGCAAATCCACTGAATTTTCTAATTTTATAAAAAGTTTTAAACAACAGTTTGGAAAGATTAATACAGGAATAGACTTAAAAAATACTGAAGTAGCTATTTTAAAATTTTATAGGCCTGAAGATTATGCTTTTTGCAATTTTGCTTTCTTTATACCAATAATTAATATGGCACATTTAAGTTAATATTTCATATTGATTATGCTCTGTTGTCTAAAATATATTAGCTAAATATGATTTTGAAACCAAATTGTCAAATCCTAGAGAAATAGGCATGTTGCATATTTTTCTCTTCATTGTACAATGTAAATATTAGTCAATCATCTTTAGAATTTCCTTCATAAAGATATCTGACCCTAGGCAGATAGTACTCCTCTATCAATTAAATAAGCTGTAAGTAAACCATATATGTCTTATATTTGTACCTTTTCTTAACTGAATCTAGTCTTCATATTAAAAAAAAAATATATAAATAAATAAAATAAAAAAATCGCAGTTTATTTATATACAGGGTGATTCTAAATTGTTTTTACAAATTATGAGGGGTTATAGTACTCGTCCAGATGAGCAATAATTACCATAGAACATAGGGTCGCATTCCATTCTGAGATGCAGAAAAGCGAAATATTAAAATTTCAACCTGAACATATAACGGTGTCGGGAGAGCGAATGAACGAGACCAAAAGTTGCACAATCAGTTTAGTAGAAAACTCACAGAGAGTGCACTAAGTGGATAAGACTGAAAACTTGGTGTTTCAGTGTTAATTCGAGTTCAGACTTTGATGGGAAACACTGAAATGCACTTCTTTGGTTGGCAAGGTCTCAACCTTGCAAGGGATTGCAACTAGTTAATTATCTAATCAAGGGCTGAATATTATCAACTAACTCCAACTTCTGCTGTATGCTGAAAAGTTTGGGCTGTCAGAAAGGATGCTTCCAATAGAATGAGCTCAGCACAGTAAGTCTAGGAGGACAGGATAGAAGATGGCGAAGGGAAAAAACTACTACCTTGATACTTGATATCAAGGTAGCAATTTTTCCCCATGATAATTTAGATAGTTAACTTGTTGCAATCTTTTGTGAGGTTGAGACCTTGCCAACCAAAGATGTGCATTTCAGTGTTTGCCATCAAAGTCTGAGCTATTAACTCAAACACCAAGTTTTTGTTTTTATCCATTTTGTGCATTCTCTGTGAGTTTTTCACTAAACTGATTGTGCAACTTTTGGTCTCGTCTCTCCCGACTCTGTTGTAAGTTCAGGTTGGAATTCTACTACAGTACAAAGTCCGTAATCCAGACATCCATTATCCAGAATGATCTATTATCCAGACCTGAAAGCCACAAACTTTTTTTTGTATGCTTTACGCATGCACGTTGGGAGGATGTGTCTCCAGATACGTTAAAAAATGCTTGGCATAATTTATGGCCAACTACCATATTTCATGGTGAGGACGATGAAGATGACAGCCGTGAATTTGAAGGTTCTCAGACGTCGCAAACTAAAGGTGAAATTTTCCAGTTATTGGATTTTGTAAAGAAATGTGGAGAAGCAGTAATAAATAAAGATGATATAACAGAAGTTTTTCATTGCGACGACAATGTCCCAATCATCAATCAATCAACGGATGGCGAAATCTGTAGTATGGTTCTTAATCCAGAAAATACCACTTCCGATAGTGTAGAAAGTGACAGAGAGGTTATTGAAAATGAAAAAATTTCGATTGACAAGTTAGTCGGTATTCTCGACACAGCAATTACAGGACTTGAACAGTGGAACTTTTTAACTGAACAATATATTATGTCTGTTTATAGAATTAAAGAGAAAGTATTAGCACAAAAAACGAAACAACTTACATTGAAAGAAATGTTTAATAAAGTAAGCAAATAAATGTTAAGCTTTTTTTTGGTAAAATTGATACCCTTTAGATCATAATTGCTCTTTATTTCATAAATTATGGTTTCATATTTTTAATTGTATACTTTCTGCATGCCATCTTACCATATTTAAAATGAGGATCTATAATCCGTAAAACCCCTAATCCAGAATCGCCGAAGTCCCGACGAATCCGGATTACAGACTTTGCACTGTATTCCTCTTTTCTGCCTCTCAGTATGGAATGTTATGTTCTATGGTAATGTTCTATGTTCTATGGTAATTATTGCTATCTGGATGAGTTCTATCACCCCTCTTAATGTGTAAAAACAATTTAGAATCGCCCTGTATATCTATATCTCTCTGTATGTATGTAATCTTGTGTTGATTTCGCTATGAAGATCCTCACTCTTACCTCTTCACGGTTTTTCTGTAACGTTTGGTATATTGGAAGAGATGTATGATGAGAAAAGAGGCTATGAAAGTGCCCATTTTGGGAG